CGCCCCGTGGCCCCCCCCCCCCCCAACCCACTTAGCACCGTTCTTAGACCAAGGAATATAGTTTTTACTCAAGCTTAGTTGGAGAGGAGCACCGTGGTGAGTGGGAAGATGAACGCAACAAAATTTGCATGCCCGTCTGTGGCAATTTGCCAACTATTGCAAGGATTCGCTAAGGGACCTCTATTGGTACGATACCACGGCTGTGGCCGTTCATCCCAGTCAATTTAATCACTCGCATTATTCACGAAATGATTCGTCAACATGTTCAGTTTTGTTGACAAGTCTGATACCATATCAACCCTAACCATAGTAGCGAAAATTGCTTACAAAGTTTAGCATCACACAGCTAAGCAAATGCATCCCGTCTTTGCTTTTTATTGACCTTCATCCTCCAACTTGGTTCCAACCTCTTTCACCCCAACCCTAACCAAACTTTTACCCAACACAGTACGTCTCGGTTTGGGGCGGTGCCACAGCCGTGGTATCGTACCAACAGAGGTCCCTTAGCGAATCCTTGCAAATTCTCACGGACGGGCATGTAGATTTTGTTGCGTTCGTGGGAAGATTTCCTTGCTTGGATCAAAAAAAGGACCTATATTTCTTTGCTTAAAAACGTTCTTAAGCACCATTATTAGTGTTTTGAGACTTCAACGGTCCAACCGACGTGCGTGCGTGCGAGCGAGAGCGGCGCTAGCTACTTGTTGGCAACATTGTACGCTTATGGATCACGTGCAAGTGTCGTCAAAACCTGTCTAGCGTCGCCGTCGCACGGACGCACGTCGGTTGAATCATTGATGTCTAAAAGCAACTATTAAATCGCAAAGTCTGCTGCTCCCCTTCTTTGCACTCTAACGCTCAACGTGGAACAAACGTGCAATCCCGCTCATCTGCACTTTCACCCCGTTTTCTTTTATTTCTTCATATTCTAATTGTATTTCTTTTTGAAGTATTCCGCCCATGAAGCGCTTTCGGCGCGATGAGCTTGCCGATCCAACGAATCCCGAACCATCCCTTGTCGTTCATGTGCGCAATCTCAACCCAAAGGTTTGAAGTCTTCTATTTACTTCATCGGAACATACATACCAATTCTGCACCTTAGTTTGGCTTTTACATTGCCAATGTGCCATTTAAGGCAACCGAAGCGGACTTGATAGAAGCGCTTGGAACGTTTGGGTTAATCGCATATGTGACAGTGATACCTGCCCAAAAGATGGCGTTGGTGGAGTTCGAAGAAATCGAAGGTGATCCTAACTGTTCTCGCTTTTAACCTTTCTGAAGCATTTCGGTTCTTCATTGCTAGATCAGATATCCACATTATTTTAATATCAGCAGTCTTTTTTTCACTAAATGGCAATAATTCCAGCCGCTCGAGCTTGTGTCACATTTGCGGCGTCCAATCTCATATTCGTTGCTGGAGACGCAGCGTTGTTCAACTACTCCACTTCACAGAATATTCAGCGCCTGGGTTTCGAATCGGAAACCCCCTGTAAAGTGCTTGTAATCACTGTGTACAATGCACAATATCCAATAGATGTTCATGTAAGTTTGATCATTCCGATGAAATTGGCATCTTAAGCGAAGGATTCAAAACGAAGTCAAAACTAGATACTATTAAGTTGATGCAAAGGCTTGATATACTCGAATGCATTGGAAATTCTTCGCGATTCAAAGAATTTCTCCAAGCTCTCATTGAACGATTTTATCATCCTAATATCCATGACAATCCTCAACTGAGAGAGCAATTTGGCTTTTCTCATTCTCAGAAAAGGTAGAACTGTAAGCTGAGAAAGGCTGCTTCGGCATAATTGAGGTCAGCGAACTTGGTGGATTTCTTCGGCCGGGAACCGCTTGAGTTGTTAGAAATGAGGTAGTCGGATGTGAAAGAACGGGGGATTTAAAAAGATGGGCTATGATACGGACGAGGGACAGAAACTATTCTCCGGCATGAGCGAGCTTCTGGAGCTTATTGTTTTAGATGGTAGCCATACAGTTTGGCATTGAGCCTGGGAGCTGCAAACCTTCGGGTGCGGTTCTGGATTAGAGCGGACCAGCAAATCTTTTACTTCCAAGAGAAGAACATTGTTGCGTTTATGTTCAACACTCATCTCCCGTTCCCCAGATCGTGCAGGGGCTTCTCCCTATGGGAGTTGGGAAGAAGTGACTGCTTGATTGAAACTCGCTTGTGACGACGATCGTCGGTCAGTTGTGCGGAACATAAAGCGAAACTTTCTCATAAACGTGTCTGTAAACTTGTCCGGCTAGTTGCTCTAATAGAGTATAAACGACTGACGGTCGTATAGTTGAGGAGCCTTCCCCGAATGCAGTGTTGACGTGGAAGGTGAAAATGTACGTGCCTTGTAGTCGCGACGTGTAAAACATCTATTTTATTTAGTTACTACTCATTTTCGAGGGACGAACAGTGGTACGGAGATGCGCGCGGCAAACTGCGCAGCGAATAAATACACGATTTCCTTAGATTAATCAAATCGATGCACTTAGTTTCGTCGCTCTTTGTGTATATGCTTTTATGTCTTGATGGTAAACGCCAGAGTCGCCCAAATCACCACGAATTCGCCGCACAATGTGCCGCGTGCATCGGGTGCACCATTGTACCCACTAGCTACCCATTGTGCCACTCATTTCCAGGAGTAGGCGGTTACCACGTCCGCTTTTATCATGCAGTGTGCGTTACCGGTTCCGTTTTCATTGGGTGGTGCGTGAGCTTTATCAAGAAGAAAAGGGTTGTGTACTACTAGTTGAATAGTCGCGCATCGAAGGCTTTCTCAGATCTGCTNCTTTGACATGAAATTATTATCCTTGAAAGAGGATAAATCTTGACTAACATTATTTTTTATGTGGACTCTTAGGTCATCCACCAAATCTGTGAACCACACGCAAAGGTGCTGAGAATAGCCATTGTTCGCAAATCAATGATGCAAGCTCTTGTCGAGTTTGAAAGTGCCGAGAATGCCAAAAAAGTAAAGCATGCGATCAATGGTGCAGATATCTACTCAGGATGTTGCACGTTGAAAGTGGAATTCGCAAAGGTATGATGTCCAGTAGATTTCCACCTTCACCGATTATATAACTTAACTTTAACTTTCCAGCCAGATTACGTGAAGGTGACGCGTCAAGATGCTGACCAATGGGATTTCACACTCGGCGATGCAGTCAAAGGTTAAACTTTGCCTTCAATATCTATCTTTTTTCACGTTTATAAATACTGGTTTTATGTCCTTAACATCGCCAAAACAGTGACGGTTTCTTTTTAGAACATAAAGGTCTGGAAACACGATCGCAGAGGAAGACACTTTTGCCCGGAGGAGGTGTGCCACGTGTTTGACGTTCTGGATTTTTAGATAAAATTAGTGCTTTTGCAGAACCGTGCAATGGTCCGGCAGGGTTCGCCTATGCAAAGCCTGGAGGATATCCAGGTAGAGGTGTAGAAGAAAGCAATGGTTATGGCGACGATCGCTACGGTTTTCGTGGGACAACGGTAAGCCTACATTCTATTTCATCGTGTAGTCAATTATACAATTTTTCTTACCTCGTCATAAATTCATCATCCTGATATTGTAAAGTCTTCACCAAAAAGGCTTCCTTCGCTCTAATATGTTTTGCAGAATGTTCGAGGCTACGACTCATACGGTGGGCCACCACGAGGATATCCACCACGTCAGTTTGCAGTTCTCTACCTTTTTGTCTAAAATGCATTTAGATAAACATGATTCAGGTGGTGCGTTACGTCCTCTTCCTGCTGCTTATCAAGGAGGTTACGGTGACATTGACCCCTCGGCGCATTCTCCTCCTGTTGGTGGAAATGTAAGTTTATCAATGCCTTGTAAGGTTATTTGTCAACCTCCAAGAACGCTTCTCTTTAGGGATGTGTACTGATGATTTACGGCGTCGACCATGAAAAGATTAATTGTGAAAAACTATTCAATCTACTGTGCCAATACGGAAATGTCCTCAGAGTAAGTCTTTTGAGTTTATACCACTTACTCAAGCTGAGATAACAAGATTCTTTTATAGATTCGCTTCATGGCTACAAAGAAAGATACGGCAATGGTTGAACTTGGAACTCCAACAGCGGTACGTCCACAAGTTCACTTGTACCGCTATAATTATGGAAAAAAATAATTGCTTTATTTGAAGGTTGCTAACGCTATCAAGTACTTGCAAGGAATAACGTTGTTTGGAATGACGCTACAGCTAAAACCAAGCATTCAGCCTGCCGTGAGAGACGTTATGTAAGTGTTGAATTAACTCGTGAAATCTAGGATATAGGAATCTTGGTTTCTCGATAATATCTTTTTTTCCTATTTGCTGGGGGCTAACATAAAAATAAAAACATAAAAATATTGGACATCATTTTAAAATCTTTTCCTTTTTTCGTTTGTACAGCCGTAAGTTAAGATCGTTTAGCGACCCGTTCGACCTTCCTGATGGATCTCCTTCATACCGTGATTATTCGATGTCTGCCCTGCAGCGCTTTTCTACTCCAGATGCAGCCGCACGAAACCGATTGATATATCCATCTAAAATGCTGCACTGGTACAACGCTCCTGCCGATATGGATGAAGAGAAGATTAGACAGGCACTCATTTCTACTATCTTATCTTTCAAATTTTCGTTCACAAATGCACTGGTTCTAGCATCCTTCATCAGCTTTCTTTTGCTTAGGTTTTTGCTGAGCGCGGTGCTCCAGAGCTGAAATCGGTTACTCTTTTTGTTGGACGCAGTGAAAGATCGTCATCAGGAATCGTTGAATTGGAAAGTATTGAAAAGGCGAATGAGGCTCTTGCTCTTGTGAATCACACTCCTGTCATGAGCCCACTCGGCAAGGTAAGAAAGCTGCAATCTCGCATGTTCTTAGCGCCCTCCTTATGATTTTTCTTTTGAAATAAAAGACATTAATTTCTTTAGACTCCATACATAGTGAAGCTGGCTTATGCTACCCCATCCCGACGGCAGGGTGGCGATGCCGAAGAACATGCTGAAGGTGGTGCCAACGGAACACCACGAGGAGGTTCTCGTGGTGGGCTCCGGGGGAGTAGACGGTTTGTTAGAACATTAATGCATTTTATTAAATCGAGGTGTCGGTTTGTTGTGATTTCATGCTTTGATAAAAGATTTTTGGTTCGGCTTTCACATGTGGAAGTGACGATATCACAAGCAGCCACAACAGCAATCACATGTGACAATCACACTAAAGCATTACATTACAACAAACATGCAAACCATTATATTAATCAGATATTACAGCACACTGACACATTTCTGTTGAATGTGTATGTGATTTGATAATCACATCACATTGTGTGTGTCAGACAAGTAGCACTTGGCTCACAGAAGACATTGGAAGTACACAGTTGCTTTCGGACTGCAGTACATCGGCAGGTAACTACTCTCTGAAGCGTACGACAGTTGTAAGGCGTAGCCTGCGTGAGGTTTGGATCAGTATTTGTGAAGTTATACTAGAATTTGCTTCCGCTTATCACTGTTATTTCAGATTTTTAGCCCCGAGAGTGTATGTGGGAAAGGGAGTGTTTTTTGAGAGTGTCGCTGACTGGTATAGGTAAACAGCGTAATCGTGATCGTCACAGTGGATTGTATAAACGTTTGAAGGGGAGAGGGGTACCATAGTCATCAAAAATGGTGTTTTCTCGTATCCTTAGTGAGGAGAGGTGTTGAGGGAGGTGTATTCATGATATGGAAATCGAAAGCCAACGTGAGCATATTTCATTGGCGGGACGGATATTACACTCTAATCCAGACCCGTTTTCTTATTATGCGTGAAACTTTGCAATTGAGCAATTGGGGTTGTTATTAAAACCCGAGTGAGCCTTGTTCTCATAAGATTTGAGGGGTCATAAACCTGGTGATCTTACTTGGTTCAGGCCGAAATTGTAGGCTGTTGATGGCTGTCTCGAAGACGCTTCAGAGAGCTAGTTTCTAAAGTGTACTGTGGACGAAAGTATACAAGACACATTGTAACAGTGCCAATTGTATTTTAGTGGTATGGGAAACGGTTATCGGGGAGGGCGCGGTTCTCATCGAGGCTTTTGAAGCAACACTCGTGTCATCTAGACGATGGCCAATTGAAGCTGCTCGTCATCTGCTGTTGAACTAATTGCAGTTGTTCTCTGGAACATTGGAACATTGGTTTTGTTGTTCATTTGAGTACGATATTAGCTTAAAGACGGCAAGAATCGTTGACTTTTTGTTCCCTTTTCATTGATTTCATCGTTTATGATCTGAATTACCGTAGTATTGAAGTCATAACAGCTTTTTTTGTATGGTTGCGACACACCATCACATATCACCCTCTAGTGGTTATACAATGATTGGAGAAGTTTCCTGGCAGTGTAGTTTAGTCAACTCTGTGTCTGCGTAGCTGAGTTAATGGAATTATTTGATTGTCGTCGTTAAAATCAATAATCTTTCGAGCATTTGTAGGTATTCGTTCGTTTTCGTGGTTATGTTGGATAAGCTAAGACGTTCCTTTGTTCTTTTTTCTTACCATCAATAAATGTTCTGTTGTGTCTGCTTTTTGGTCAACTACTCTATTCCTCTGATAAGGTTAGATGCCATACCTAAATTACAATATTTTTCTAAGCAACATTCGTTTTTTTTTTCCTAGACTCCTAAGAGATGAGTCTTAGACGTTTTATGACTGGTGATTTCAAGAGATGGGAGCAAAAGAGGAGGCGAAGCAGTTGATAGAAAAAAGAGATCAACTTGATGCAGAAATTGAAAACAATTTTGAGATTCTGAAGAAAGTGGGTGCCACAGGCCAGTGTGCATTCTCCGTCAAATGGGAGTTGTCATTGGTTCATATACCTTTCAGAACGGTTCTACAATGGATTCACCCCTCGTGGATCAGGAAGGGTTTCCATTCAGTCACATTGATGTGTACAGTGTTCGCCAAGCTCGTCATAAGATCATTTGTTTGAGGTAAGGTTTTTTTTTGCGTTGATCCACTTTCCAAATAGTGGAGTGTCCCTGACGGTAGCCACATTAAATGTGACCTGAAAGTTTCTGCTAAATGTCGGATTTTTTTTTATTATCGATCAATAATAAGGTTGTCAAGGGAAGCTTTGTTTGGCACGACTATTCTATTTCGAAATCCAATCGTGTTAAATTCCTTGTTGATGGGGGTCTTAGAGTTTGCATTTTGAATTGGATTATATGCAAACTTGATACTTTGATATAACAGGTCAAAGTGTTGTGATTTGAACTCAGCAAAATGATTTTTTATCGATTTATTGCGAATAATTTTTCTACATTACAATGTCCGGTGAAGAATCCAGTTAGTGAACTGCGAATTGCTAGAAATAGTGGGTGGAAGGTGTCAGAATTCGTAGCTGTTAGGATCCTGAATTTTTTGCTTGTTTATTCCCATTTTGACCAGCCGCTAAATGAACAGAGTCATTTGGTATTTAGGAATGATCGCAAAGCTCTCACAGAAGCAATAGAAAAGGCTATTGAACAGTCACATGCTGAGGTTCGGCAACAGGAATCGGAATTAGGCTGTGGAAAACATTGTAACACTGATCCCGGGAAGATTGATGCTCCCCGAATGGTATTCGTATAAACTTCAAAAGGGCATTATATTCTGTTAATTTGGTATTATTTCATATGTTTCAGCCTGATCCTCCGCCAGTTCATCGTACTTCAAATAAACCCTTTATAAAGGTGAGAACACGAGTAATTGATTCAGATACGTTTTTTTCAGACGGTGTGATGCTGAAATTTTCATCTTAGGTTACAACGGTTATACCGAACTCACCCGCTGCTGAGGGAGGTTTGAGAGCTGATGATTTGATAATTCAATATGGTGATTTGCATGCGGGAAATTTCAAGGAAATGAAGGAAGTTTCCAATACAACAGCGAACTTCGAAGGGGTATACAGTATTATCTTCAAGTTGGAGTTGTTTAATTAGCTTGTTTGTTAAAATGACGAACACAATCGTTCAACAATGTGTTTCAGCAGAAACTGAGAGTTACCGTTCTACGTTTTGGAAGAGCAGTTCGCCTCGAGATTTTTCCCAAACGATGGTCAGGCAACGGTATTCTGGGTTGTGGCATTGTTCCGATAACGACATCTGATGTTATCTAACCAAAATACTACTTGTGATGTGACATACTTCTGTATATACTCGAAAGTTAATGCTATTGAACAACAACTCGGTCTTGATCCGATGTGATTTTTCAACAGCCACCTCCACATTGTAATGGTTATGTTCGGTTTTTTGTGTTACTGGTATTTGTACCTATACTGTTTGAACACCTTTTTGATTCTGCGGTTTTTAAGTGTGCATAATTTCCGAGAGTTGTAAAGATTGTAATTACTTGAATAGTTCAAACAGAAGGTCCTGAAAATCCTGGTATATTTCCATTCACTGTGATGCTGATGAATGTAGTAAACAGGTCTATTAAGTAAAATATATTGAATATTAAAAGTAGTCATTTCTGGGAAAAGTACATGTCGTTCAATGACATATTCAAGCTCATTCACTAGGTCGGCAGTGCGGTAACGCTCGAAAGGTGAATGCGTTGGAGATTGGGTTGTAAAGTTCTTTTCCTACATGAATAGTATGCTATAGTCGATTCTACGTTTCCGGCACAGAACGTATTGTGGTCGCAATACATGTGTAATAGGCGAGCGGTTGCGGTGCGATGAGCTTGACTTCGTTCTCGGAAATGCTAAGGCTTTGAGTATTATATCGTTCGTGAAATGACGATCACGAATTAAACGTTGCGTTCCATTGCGAACAATCTCACGGGAACAGCTTTTGTCGTGTAGAAAGTTGCTACGAACTAATCAGTCTATTTCAGTATCCATGGCTAAAGAGGTGTTATTAGAAGAATCATGGTTACGCAAATACGACCATCTCATTGGTGGTTTTGCAGGAGGTGTTGTAAGTACAGCAGTATGCCATCCCATGGATCTTCTCAAAATCCGTTATTCAGGTAATTTAGCCGTTATAAACCCTTCTTGTGCGGCGGTTGACCTCAACGGAGATAAAACATCTGGGTGATGAGAGTTACTTGATTTCTAAACACGAGTTGAACGCTGTGGCGCTGTGCTTTCGTAGTTATTTGTTGGATTGTAACTTAAATGGTGAATTCTTACCAGTCTTCTTACTCGCTTGTTGAAGAAGTTGTCATAGCAAGCAACCCTTAATTGTTGCGAGAAACCGTTTTTTTTTACTTCTAAAGATCGATTGATTGATCAGTGACTACAAATTCGTTACTTTTGTTCCAGCCGATGAAGGCAGCAGCATTCGGCCTCGATATCATAGCTACTTTCACGCTACTAAATGTATTGTCAGAGCGGAAGGCCTTCGGGGGCTTTATCAAGGCCTCACACCCAACATGGTCGGTGCAGCCATGTCATGGGGTCTTTACATGGAGTGGTACGATTTATTCCTCATATTCTTAAATTTGATATAAATTAGAACTGACTTTTTAGGTATCACAAAATCAAAGCCGTGTTGCCATTCCGTTCTCCCAATGAGAATTTTGATAATTTTCTCATTGGTTTTGCTGCTGGAGCGGCTGTGATGTGCTTCACTAATCCGATTTGGGTAACAAAAACCAGGTTCATAGATACATATCTGTTTCATGGCTACTATAAAAATATCTTTTTTACGTTTTGATTGATGTACCATCTCTTACAGTAGTCTACTGTGACATACCGAGTTTCTAAAGGAAATGTCGTCATATTCAGGCTCTGTTTGCAGTACGAGTCAGGTGCACTAAAGAAGTATTCAGGAATGGTGGATTGTTTGAGAAAGATCTATATAGAAGAAGGAATTCGAGGGCTCTACAGAGTGAGCCTTCATACAAAGTCTTTGAATTGCTTGATCACAAAAAGTCAGCGATCAGTTAGAGGCTCTTAAGACTTTTTGAGTTTCCATCCTTTGCCAGCCCTTCGAATTCTGCAATTTTCAGAAACATAAAGCTCCAGGTAAGTTTTTTGGTCTCTCAAGTAACTCATCTGAAGGCTGTTACCCGTATTTGAAGACAGAGCTTATTACACAAAAAAATTATCTGTTGTTTCCAGGGATTCGTGCCAGGGTTATTTGGTACTGTCCATGGGGCACTACAATTCATGATCTATAACCGCATGAAGGCATGGCGATGTGAGAGAAATGGATGGGTCAGAGATGCTCAATTGGTTGGTGTTATAATTACAATATAATTGTGCTTTTTGGCTAGTGCTTCTTCTCCACTTCGAGTTTTATTCCAGTTTTCGCTTTCTCAGTGAATGATAATCTTGGTAGCTCAGTCTGAATTTAATCTTAAAGACTTAGCACTGGACTAGCACTGCTTAAATCTTTGCATATCCAGAAAATTCGATCGAGACTTCTGTACTAGCTGAAGTGACGGTCTTTTGCAAGATCATTTTTCCAGTAGTAAAGGAGTCACACTGCCCATGTTCACAGTTAATTCGAAACTTTCTGACTTCTAATTTCAGGTCGTGAAAGTGAGATATGCGAGTCCTCATTGCGATGCTATACAGACCCTCATAAGCCCTTACAGGCCTTGTACCTCGATAATGTTGTAGAAGTCATCAGGTAATTTCAACTTTTCAGGGTCAGACAGACTACCTCGCATTCTCAGCTATTTCGAAGGTCATTGCAACGACGGCCACATTTCCATATCAAGTCCTCAGAACACGAATGCAAGTGAGTTAGATTAATTACTTTCAAAAATATGCGAATTGTACAGTACAGTGCTTTTCGCGACTAATTGCATTAAACTACAGCAATACGTGGCAATGTGAAGGAGCGTTTAGGAAGTTCATCAATAACTGAAAGTGTTCGTCTGCCTACTTAATACAGTAGCTCTTGGTTATTGGGTCCCATGTTAGATGACAGGAAGCAACAACATTTCTGCCTGTGTCCATTCAAATTCTTGCTATTCTTTATGAATGATTCTTTCTCGAGACACCTATTGATGCAATGGATGGGAATTGTACTTTTCCACTGCATTCTGAGGTGCTGAGGAGGAGTGGTGATATGAGTAAACATAAGCCAGCCGATTTGGTTGGTTCCGTCGGGGTTTCAGTCTGATACTTTGAGCATAAGGATTAGGTAAAACGTTAGCCAAAACCGCTACGCTGACGACGGTGACATGTGCCATTCCCCCAATGGTTGTGTTATTGTTGAGAAATGACCTTAAGCCTGTCAAACTTCAACCCCAATTAGTATTGCACCCAATATACCCACCCGTTATAAGAGGCTCAGCAGATCTCCGGGATTCTTTTCAGGACCACAATGTCGAGGCAAGAGGACTGTGGCGAACTATTATGGATACTTTGACGAAAGAAGGTGTAGCTGGTCTTTATAAAGGCTGTCTAATGGCGAATTTACGGCAGTTACCAGCAGCTGTTGTGACTTTTGCTACATACGAGAATGTTAGGCGTTATATTAAGAATTCTAATTTCTAGTCATTCTTAAATCCGGTTGTTGTCATTAGAACTATCCAGTTGTTAATTGTTACTGTTATCGTGATTAGCGTCAAACGTGAAACTACCAAGCTCCCATAGGCCATAGATGATGATGTAATAGATTGATAGATAGGTTCTGCTAGCTCTGAATACTCTAACAAATACCTCATATGTAGGAAGCAACATTCCCTAGTCATTTCTGTGGTGATCTGAAACCCAGGCTAGTTATTATTGATGTCCCCAAGGTACCTAAAATCAGCATTATTGTCACGTCGCTCAGTCCAAGGCCGAATCCCTGTCCAAAATTCTTTCTGGTGAGATAGATTTTACGAATGTAGCTGCTTTCATAGTCCACGATTTGGCCCGCGACCGATCGCGCGACTCATCGCTGGCCAAATCGTGGACTTGTCAGGTTCTATTTCACTGTAAGCATGTTTCCTACTGTTGGCGCGTGAACTTTTAGATATCGTGTAGTATTTTTAGTTAGGTATGTTCTAGAATAGGTCTTGCCCGATATTTTTTCTAGTATAATTCCGATAATTTCGTTCTCTACTCCCAGTGATGTGTACTGTTTAGTTTATTGTGTTATTTTTATGGCGCTCAGTGCTTCTTTGGGGTCTTTCTCATTGCCTTTACCTGAGCGTTGCTGCAGGTAAGCAGTAGAAATAAAAGCGGAAGTTAAATACACCAAAATGCATGCCTTGGCATACCCTTTATTGAATCAATAGAAAATTTTTTGCCGTTGGTTCGATGCGTGGCGCGCGTAGGCGGTTAGTGCATCAAAGCTTCGGTGATCGATGATGGCGTAATGTATTACGCATCGCATTTAATAGTTCACCGTTATGTGTGCACACTCAAAATTACCCGAAAAATGGATGGGCATTTTTTCGAGCAGTTTCCTATTTGAATATTCTTATCAGACCTTATCTTAATAACACTTTTTTAGAACTCATTCTTGTAAATCTCATTTATTGTGACGCTGCCTGTGTGTGTTCGAAGATATGTCTCTGTAAATGCCTCTTTTTTTTGAATAATTATAACGAATGAATCTTTACCAGTTTATTTTAGTCTAAATGTTGCATGCGCGCAGCCAGGTACATCGAGTAGCGTTCATAGTCAACGAATTCGCAGTTGTCGCTCATATCTCATAAAGGGAGGCCAAGCTAATGTAGGTGGTATGAAGAATGTGAAATCGAGAAATCTCCCGTGTTGATTGTTGTCAGTAAACATGGAAGATGAAACGACTATCGATTAAAATTATTGATCAATTATGACCGTGTTCGGGGTGGCGTGGGTAAACAAACCAGTGTAAATAGGTAATGCTTTATTGAAATGAGGTAGGAAAGGAAACAGGTAGATGCATCAACTATTGTGACCTAAGATCCTCTATAAGTTGAATAGGCGAAGGGGCTCAATGTGAGTGGAATATGATAGTGTCGTGAAATATCGTCCACTTTGAAGACTACCTGGAAGATGGAATTTAATTACGTCACAACAATCGAGCAACCACCCATAAATAGTATTATAAAAGTCTACCTCCACATATGGGAAAAAGCTTTCCATGTTCTTCTTTTTGTAGTACTTTTCAATACCGAATGCTAGCTTGTAAATGCCTTTTCGAAGAGCAAAATTTGGCGAGACCCACGGAACTCGTCCATTCTTGCCGGTCTGTCTGAAAAATTCACAAAATAAAAATTCAGTGATCACAGGGTTCGTAGGCGTAGTTCGGATGATCAAATATTGATGGGAGCGCTTTGGCAGTTACCCAACTTCGCTTCTATTGGTTAACGACCACCGAGACTTTGTCCCACACTGTGCAGCCAGCTCAGTGTCATCACAGGGGATCTCCCGTGGACCGAGTCCTGTAATTCAATTTCTCGCGCTTTCTAGTCCCTTACTTCCTTCTGTACTTTTTGATTATCCATTGTTTATTCATTAGTCGTTCGTTTTTCCAATTATTCTCAAGTAACTCACGTCTTGCCTATTTGTTTCCATTTAGAATTTTCTTTGATGTAGGCTGTGATAGCCACTCCCTCAGCCGGCTCTCCAGAAACGGTATCGAGAACATGCGAGGAAATGGACTCGTTTGGAACGGTCTGACTTATCACCAGACTACCTCAAAAGACTAGTAAGTACGATAAGCTGAATAGCATATATTTGCTGTATAATCATTGAAAAAATAACTAGCATGAAGAATAGGTGGAGTGACGTAAAAACTGAAAATTCAATCAAATATATATATATATATATATATATATATATATATAATTGAATAGATATTATAATTTGGTTATATAAATGAACTGCTAAAAACCGGCTATAAATATTCGAAGACTACTTAAGTGAGCTGTTCTTCGGCCTTGAACTGCGCTGCAGGCACTTCTTACCCTTATCTTTATCCACCTCATCGGTGTATGTTAAGAACATTTCATTCGTCCTTTTCCGCCTGAAGGGCGTGGTCTGTTAGCGGGCGGAGCTTGTGAATCGATGAGAGGGATACTGTATTTGGGTTCTCTTTTTCGAAAGCGTCTTGAATTGTAAATTGCGCGGAGTTTTTAGTTTGTGAACGAACATACCCGATCACCTGTTCATATTGAAAGATTCATACTGTTTCACTGTAGGTGTAGTGTTTTTAACTGAATATAAAAACAATTTTAACTGAATATGAAAGTAATTTTGCTCTCTCCTGTCGAATAATTTTCGACAATAGGTAATTTTCGATTCTTTCCCTTTATGTGAAAATTTCTAACCAAATTTTGGATGCATGGCGCATAAAAAAGAGATCGGACAGTATTAGTAATTTTATTTTGTATGCATATACACACTGCGTTTCATAAATATAGGGCCTCCCTAAATTTTTGTGATTCCACATTTGCTGTGCATGTTGAGAAAATGCTGCTATCACCAGTAGATTGCCCATGTCGAAAAACCTTGCTAACATTTTTCTGAGAAATTTTCTATTCCAAATAACCTAAATAACTTACCCTGAACGAATTTTCTGTGCATTATGAATACGGGTCCACTCTTGAAACATCCCCGTTTCTCTTCTTCTATAAGGGGAAATCGGGATGCGGGGTCATACAGGAGATTGCTCGGTTTCGTGTAATTGTGCTGCGCGCTACTCGTCTCTCTAACCAGGAACAAGCCCAAGTCAGAGCACTGTTTGAAGCCGGATGGTCGAGAAGGAGGATTGCCGCCCATATCGGCCGGTCACGCAACTGCATTAACGAGTACGTGCGGAATCCTGATCAGTACGGAAAGAAGAATAGTCCAGGTCGACCACGGCTGCTTTCTGCCCGAGATGAAAGAACAATTGGACGTGTTTTGTCAAATTCAACGAAGAGCCTGAACAGGGTCCGCGCTGAAATGAGGCTTCGTGTGAGCAAAACCACTGTCTGGAAGGTAATCCAGCGGAGCGGAAGCATCACCAGAGAGTTGATGAGGCGGGTCCCAAGACTATCGGAACGACACAAAGTCGCACGCCTCCAATTCGCCGTGAAAAATGCCTCATTTGATTGGACGAAGGTGCGGCTATTTCGACACTTTATAGTCTTTAATTCCATATCTTTATTTTACGGCTTAGGTAATCTGGAGCGACGAAAAGAAGTTCAATTTAGACGGGCCTGACAGTAGAAGAGGGTATTGGAGGGATCTGCGCAAAGCACGCTTGGTTTTGAAGCGACGTAATTTCGGTGGAGGATCTCTCACGGTTTGGGGCGCCCTTTGTGCGGCTGGACAGCTTGGAATTGTTTTTGTTTCCTGTCGTATGGATTCCGTAGAATACCAGAGAATGCTGGAGGAGCGACTTTTGCCATTTCTTCCACAACACCGTCGTCGTTCATTGATTTTTATGCACGATAACGCAGCTGTCCATGTCAGTCGCTCCACTTCGGATTGGATTGCAAGTAGAAATATCACAGTTCTCAAGTGGCCTGCATGTTCTCCAGACTAGAATCCAATGGAGAATGTCTGGGCCTTCACTGTCAAGGAGATCTACGACGAAGCGAAGCAGTACAACACAGTCGAAGAGCTCAAACTGTCCATCCCATCCTTGGACAAACTTGGACCCCAATTTGAGAGCTAGCTTGGTTGAGAGCATGCCAAGTCGCATTGATGAAGTCCTTGCGAATAAGGGAGGACCAACCCATTATTAAGAAGTTGTAACAGCCACTCTCTTGTAACAAATTTTTTCGTTAAAGAATGTGTAGTCATACTCATGAAAAGGGCGAGAATACCTCTAAGGAAATTATTTCACCAATTCTAAAGTGAAATTTTTTCACAAAACCTGTACTAAGGTTTTCCGTTATGAGGAATCTATTAGTTATGGCAGGATTTTCCAAAAATGCGCTGCATGCTTGGAATCGCAAAAACTTAGGGTGGCCCTATATTTATGAAACGCAGTGTATTGTTAATATTGAATATGTAGGAAAAAGAAAAGTAAAATATCGAATTACTCACAAATACAGAGAAACACTATGGAGAGAGGAAGCATCAAGGTCATCGTATGGGATCGTTTCAGTTGTTCGGGTGATCGATGGGCAACAGAACAACTTGGATCACGCCGTTTGATAACGCTTGTAAACAGGGGCAGTAACCATGGACACCATAGTATCAAGATGAATGGGAAGGGTGAGTAAAACGGTTGAGGTTCGTAGATCGACCCATGCTACTTCTGTATAAGGAGAAGAGTTTCACGGGTGAGCAACGTAACTTAGTGGGGGACGAGGTTTCCCAGACGGATCGGGCACTTCGACCACCTTACCTTTTTCTACTTCAAAGACTGAAGGCTAACGAGTAGACACTAACTGGACACATTGATTTTTGTGGGAGGTAACAAACAAACAACTAAGCTCTCAGATCTATTTGAAAAATATGAAAGTAGCTTTTGAAAAATTCCCATTCGCTATTGTCGGATAGAAAGGCAGTCAAGTTAGGGCGAATCATGGCCTAAAAAACTACGATCTCTGCACACTTCCGTTCAGTTTTTCCAAGAAAGGTCGTGCTTGGCTGCCTCGTAGAGGCCGATACGATTAAGACGTATGTAGGATATCACGGAGTATGTACTGCGGACTTTCAGGCCAGGACTATTGAATCAACAGAACAAATTTATCGTTACAGATTTGACAACAAATGAGCAGTTTTTTGGATTCGTATATCATGAAGGCTTGCCTTTCCTCCCTGCCCAGTACCTCTGCTTGGTCTGTTGTACGATACCTCTGTGGTGGTAGCAATGAAGAACTCGTAGGCCTTGTAATGATCTCCTTATTTAGGAGACGAATTTACTTGCCACAGTCATTATAGTAAAAAATGGTTTTGGTTTGTAAACAAAGTGAACCAAAGATGTTGCCAAGATAAGAAACGTATATCAAACATTTATTCACATAAAAAGGATTGGAATTCAATAGACTTCATCCTGATACGTTGTTCGTGGACGTGCTTGAACGAACTGAAGAGAAAAAAAAAGGATTTTAGGATATTTGTTCTCCTAATATAGAAAAATAGAAGCAAAGCGAATGATAGGATCACCTTAGGGACCTGATGACCGTATCGTTGGCGGAGGTATTGGTGATATTTGTGTATGAAAATGATGGAAAAGATGCAAGCAAAAAACGCAAGTAGGAGTAATCCCATCATTGGGCACAGTATTGCCTCTTCGTAATCGTTTGTTTGATAGTTCTTCGATGAATCAAGCACTCTGCCAAGCATCGCTCCTAAATAGTTGTGATTTGGTTTAAGTATTAAGTAGTGTTTAATTGTGTATGGTGTAAGTAGTCTGGACGTTCAAGTGCCACTAGCATACACATTATCCATAGATCGAATCCCTATGTTTCGTGAGATTTCTGGTTGATACTTTCCGAACATCCCACAAGGTTGGCGAGTTAACTCGGCCCAGGGCGAAACTCGAACCCATACTTGTGCTATCCGGGCACCATGCCTCAAAAGGACTTCTCGAACACCCTTAGGTTATAATATTGTGAACGGGTCCCCCATGAAATCAATCCGATCATGATGCTAAAAATAATGTTGTAGAAAATCTTACCAAAGGCGAGCAAATTCATAAAACATCCCAGAATGAGGGCAGTGAAATTCGGCAGTACAAAAACCGGTCGGTAGTACTTGAACGATAGTAGGAGTATGAGAATGGAGAACAGCCAGAACGTTCCGAATCCCACATACCTGAGTATAAAATAGACGCAAAATGAAATTGGTTTGAACATATGACGTAAAAACCCTGTGACAAGGAATGTAATCAGTGCAGAAAAAGGGCAAGAACGGTGCCGTTCGATCCGACATCGCTTTTCAGGGACCAAAACTCATCAAAGGCGACTTAATGATTATTTTCTCCAGGATCGACTAATTGGTTTGGGTCCTGAGAAGTTGAGTTTTGAAGACGCCATATGCATTGTCCTACCCAGGCTGGTCAAAGCTGCGATCAGTGGTTGATGAGATTTAACGCAATTTCAATGGAAAAAGAAGACCGGTGAATCGTGTGAGTCTTATACTTGTCGTATCCAGTACCTTAAGTTTTTGATAGTGAGAGTAATGACACTGGTCATTCTTATAGAATTGTAAAACCTCTTCAAGTGGGCGGTAAATTCCAAGTATGGGTGCCTGAGATTTGCGGATGCTCGTCGCACGCGACAACATCGCACCATGACCTGGTCGATTCCCCTGCGGTATATCCAGCTGTAGTTTTCGAAGTTAGTTCTGCTCAAGATCAATGTGTAGTCAGCTGGTCGATCATATGATCAGACATATCTTTAAGCAAAAGCAAAAGTAAGCCTACCATGCCATAACCAATTCAAGGATAGATCTTGACCAAATGCCTGCTTTTACTTTGATCGTGTTGCCCTGAAACAGAGGCAAAGGTTTCAGCTTTCATTTAGCGGCACTCCTGCGAAGAGTGTACCTCAGCCGCTGCTGCTGCCACTTCAGTTGCGTTTATAGCTCCACGTGTTTCATAGCTTTCCCATACACGATATCGGTCTAGGACCATACCGGTGGAGGCCAGCGTGAGGACAAGCAGGATGAGCTGGAAACCGGATAAACTGTCGTTAGTTCACTTATCGACTTTCGTAAAAATAAACATCCCCTAGTAAACAAAACTCGTTGAGAGCCTGAATTTCGTTTTTTTTTCTTTCGAAATCGCTAAATCTGAAAAGGGAAGGGTTTCTGTGCTTTCAAGAATAGGGGGTGCTCTGTGACACTGTTCATCGGTCCAGTATTCCTAGTAACATTTTTGGGGGGAAACGAAGCGTCTATGGGATGGTAGGGATTTTTTAGCCATTACTTACCTGAAGGCTTGTCACTATAGCGGCTCCGGTCACTGCATGGCATCCACATACTCGATCGCTCATTAGCTACTATAATGGCAAAAAAACATTGACAATAAAGCATAAAGAAACGAAAATTTCATTTAAATAGTTTAGATCAGCATAAAATGAGTTTCGGTGGGTGGTATGTCGAGAGAATTCATCTTCTTCGTTCGTTCATCTCCGTGGATACGCTTTCAGAGCATTTCCATTATTCATCGTCGCCATTGTGTTCCATATTGAGTGGAGACCTTCCATTTGCCTAGGAAACACAATTAAAAGTCATAAAAATTCTTGAATTGTAGGCAAAACTTTGGTCACGGAAAGAACTTGAACCCGCACATGTGCTTATTCATTTTGACTGCTGCCTTTAATGCATCTAAAAGTCAAAAGCAAAAAAAAGAAGGCGAGATCGAAGGCAGTGAAAACGGTCTTGAGAAAAGTGAAAAGTATCGAATTAATATTTGTTAAGCCGCAAGGTCGCGCCACGCATTGATTGCCGCTTGAGTATTTTGCCGTGTCGCTGGTATTAGAAGGAATTTTGTCTTTCAATCTTCACCCAATTTGGCTGGGTGTTTCTTCCTTTACTTGCTACCATTCCATTGAAAGGATACGGTACGCCATACGAGATTCTCGCGATATATGGTGAATCATGGAAAGTCGACTTATGTACACTTTTTGTAAAAAAAATTACTTCAATACGTAAAAGTGAGCCTTCAACTTACCAGTAGGCGAGCACACAGCTTGCTAGGTAAGGAAAGCGGTAAAGTAGGGTAATTAGGATCATACAGGAGCAGAAGGAAAAGGGAACTATATTGAACCGGTAGTTTACTGTTCAGTGAATAATTGAGCGGGAACTAAGAATTACTCTTTTGCATCCGAGATGAGTAGCAGCTGGTTATTTTCGAGGAATGAACTGGTGGTAAGTCTGATAGACCCTTCATTTCGATACTGTAGTAGGAAGAAGTTAAGACGTAAATGTGACATAAATACACTCTACCCTCTAAAGAATTTTCTCGACGTAGTTGACACCGAGGGAAGGTAGTTAGCAATCGTCCTGATTTATTTCCATCGTTAGGTAGATTGGGGAACGTTTAGGAAAGAGAAGTCTGTATAAGAGTAAAAGAGAGTGTGGTCGTACTGTAACTTTTTCTCGGAAAGCTGATTGGCTGGCAAATGGCATTTTCATTGGTGAACCTCACTCTATTCTGCATCGGTTCACCAAGATCGATATGTATGTTTTGCGTGCGGTTTACAGCCGGGATCGTAGCTGCGAACGAAATGGAATGAGAGCAACTCTGGAAGTTCTGATAACGTCACTCCACTCGTGTTTTCATCTTTTGCTGCATTTGAAGTTGTTCGGCAGGTATGCATCATTTTTCTAGAATATGGCTTGTAAAGCTGTGCATTCTCATCTTCTTCTCGGTTTAACGGTCAGACATACCATGTCATCTGATCTATGGAATTCATTTTCCAAGTGGAACTGCGGTATTTTCAGATATTACATGCTATCATAATAGAGTATCTATTTGTTTCGGATATGTATTTGTTGTATCCTGTAAAAGTACCCGCTCCTTCTGGACCTAAAAACGCATCCTCTTCTGAAGAACCCAGGCTTGATTTGAATGGCATTAAGGTGAGTAAGAATTCTTCGATGACTGACCTGTTTTATGACTATTTATGACATTCTCTTGCATATTGTTTGTGATAAATATTGATCATGTACGTATATAATCGATTACTTCTTTTAATCCATGCCCTTCCTGTGCATCTCGGTATATGGGTACTGAGGAGAAGGAAAAGGTGCGGTTCTAAGGGATTCTTGACGGTTTTGAGGGACTCTTGTAGGAATCCGAGCGGTTCGAAGTTGAGAAAGATCATCAAATGAGCCCAACAGACCGATAGATAAATAGTGATTACGGGAAACTATGTTGCTTGAAGGGGATGGCTTAGCTGCTCAGGCTTCCTTCCGATTGACGTCTTCATGGAAACCTGGTGGAAAACTCAAATCAGTCGTGATCGCGATTTTAACCCTGGGTGATCGTCAAAATCAAAATCATATCAGGTCTTCTGATGACAGTTCCCTGACGAATCTGTCAGGAATGAGAACTCACATGGAATGACGCAACACCATGTCTTTCCTGGCGCCACAAGTCACCAAAGCTCAGGACATACACTAGAAACAATCCTTTCGGAGTGAAAAAAGGAATTTCAGGTTGTCGTTGGTATAGGTGCTCACATTGTCTGTTTAATAAGTTTGATCGGAGCATTACTGGCAAACAATATTTCGGCAGTGGCACGTATTCTGCCACCAATTGTTGTGAGTTTATGGAGTAAACTGCACGAATCGCATGTATGAAAAAAATATGCCTGTTAGGTCAGGCTCCTCGCTAGAATGATTGCCCCCTGTGTTTGGGCTCAAGTTTTCAGAATGAGCCGTACAAAAGTGATTACGAAACGAAGATCCCTTCGTGGTTGTAGGGTGAGGGGTGCTACTTGTCCCAGTCGAACCTATACTGGAGACAAATTATCTGGATCTTTTCTTGTATCGAGTTGGCGTGACCGGAATTTCTGATGGAAGTTGTAAGCAAAATTAGGAAACGAAGGGTGATCAAAAGTGATAAGAAGTGGTAAAAACGATAAGACGATAAGATGTATTACAGAGCAGTGTCACGAATTGCTTTAGAGCCCTGGGGATGGCGGGACCTAAAAGGTAGTAGGAGAAGCTCGAAAATATAAAGCAAGTATCGGGTGATCTATGACACCTATCGTGTTGATGGGTCAGTCGTTGATGGAAGTGGTAACTCGTGGTAAGGGGTGATAAGATACGCATTCATGAGTTACGCGCTAAACAAAATGGAGAGGGGACAGACGTGCCAAATGGTAGAATGCAGTAGCAACTGATGTGAGCTGATAAAAGTCGCTGTAGAGCATCATGATCAGGGATAGCATGCTAGGTATATCGAACACAAATAATTGATTGTGGGTGATAAAAAATGATAATAATCAAACGACATATTTTTCTTTAGATTATTAATCACGCTTTTAAGGTGATTGTCATTTTGATTTTCACATTAGCATTCAATATACCAGCAGCGATATGCTTATTGCTTCACGAAGCACCAAAACATCCTGGCGGTTTTTCACGTGCCGTTCGGTTTTCTATGGTAAGTTTATAGAGTTATTTGGGTTCGAGTTCAGGATAGGTCCACCAGAATGTTTTGCTATCCTGTGGGTGGAAGTCGAAGCTGAACTTGAACTTACTGGCCTCTTGCCGATTCATTATTTGGCAACTGGTCCCTTGGTACCATGCCAACAAAGCCATCCTTTGCTGTTCTGCTGACTTTTGATTTCTCCACCCCACTCATCCAAACTGCCCCACTTCCCTGTACCCGAAGGATTGCCAGAAGTGCAGAACGTGAGAGGATGTCGGGATAAGTATTTCCAGGAGTATTGCAGCCCACGTGCAAGTCCTCTTTTGCTAATTTTTTTGGCATCATGCCATATACCAATCGGATGCCTTTCAATGTTAGAGTATCTTCACACATGAGTAAATCAAAAGCTATGCCTTCCAGATCCTTTCCTTCACAACAATTGCCTATTCAATTCTTGTAATAGTCGTTTACTGTGTTTGTAAACCTGGCCATGAATCGTTGCGACCCGTTGGTGGTCCTGTTTCGTCCAGACAGCAGCAGTAAGCCAGTATCTTTCGTGAAGTTAGAACGAAGTGATGGAATCAATTCAGAAGCAAAGATGGCGACGAAAAAAGGAGTAAGGAACAAGCCGAAGAAAAGCGGAGCGACGAACGCAAGGTGAAACACAGTTCTGGAACTTCTCGTACAGAGAACAAGGTATTCGGCTATTTACTACCAACTATTTCGTTTTGGGTAACTCCAGAGGTGAGTTAGGTTTTCATTGCGATACTCCATCATGACCTAATAGTGACAAAGCCAGATACAGCAGTATTTCGCGTTTCAACTGACCCACTGCTAACTCGTTCCCATGCCCCGATCGCATGCCGCGACGTATAGGTTGAATGGGAGGGACTTGGGTTTACTCACCGCACACAAAGATTTCTAGTAAGTCCGTACGGTACAGGTCGAACTACTCACCATGGCTTTTAACAGTCGTACCTTTCTTTCCCTGCTCTGATTTCCTCTTTCAAAGATCACGGGAAAAGGACAAGCATAAAGCTGACAGCATAAAGCACTTTCTTTGTCATCTATGGTTTGAGCTCCTTACTGACGGAACTCCACCAGTGAGTTCTGTCAGTAAGGAGCTCAAACCATAGATGACAAAGAAAGTGCTCGGGTGCCTCCACACTGATCGGACCGCAAGGAAGTTTTCGATTCTGTATAAGTAAGCCTGCCTCTATCCAGCAAATCTGCTAAGCATGAAGGGTTTGATTGACCTGAACAGGATATAGTTCTGGTTCAGAAAAGATCGAATTCCAGTACATTCCCAGTAGCATAAAGTGTGAGGGCCCACCACTTTGACACCTTTCGTTTCACAGCAATCTCTTTTCATTATTTTCCATAACAATGCCCGTCTATTCCAGGATGAAATACCCTCTCCGGCTCCACCACCAGCTCGAAAGCCTGCTCCACCTCCACCTCCACCTCCACCACCACCGCCACCGCCACCTGCACCTTCGGCTCCAGATCCTACTCAAGCTGCTCCATCTCCTTCTCCTGAAGGCGCAGACGCGAAGAAAGAATCAGATGGGTTGTACGAGAATTTGGAGGTTCCTCAAGGATTCGGAGCTGCACCTCCCCCTCCTCCACCGCCTTGATAAAACGGTGAGCTTTCGCGTTTGCAATTGTACCCACAAATAATACCGTCTATTCAGGTGGGCTTGTGATTTGGTAAGGAAAGCGACATGGAATTCACTACAACTTAGCTGTTGTTTATCATATAAAGTGATTATACAGCTGTGCTGTTATTGATAAAGCCGTGCAAAAGCAGCACGAAGGATGTAATATATGGCCTGAGTGTGACCTGGAAACTTGCGAAGTGGCCCTGAATACTGCAGAAGCTAGTAAACTTCTAGCCGAAGTCCAGAGGAGCAATAATGGGAACTCTTCGAGCTTTCACCCAGACGGTGCGGATGTATTTCAAAGGCTGATTGCACTCCTTTAGGTTACGTATGCTCTGCACAGTAACCCGCAAACCATGAGGCGTTGTGATTTAGGAAGTGGAGGATTGATGTGAACAAAGAGGAACTCCGTAATCCTTATGATGTACTGACTTTAACCGGTCCTTATCGCTTCACTTATCGCTTATTTTTCGTTAATCTACTATTTAGTCCAGTCTTATTCAAGGAAGTGCCATTTCCACTTAACATAAAGGACGTCCACATCCAGTGGTTCTTGCTATCGGTGGCTCATCATCAGTTCTTATCGCATGCCATCAGTCCTTGTCGCCAACCACATACGGCCCCTCACCTATCAAGTTCCACAGGACTTCAATGGCACGTATAACTCTTGCTTTCTGACGGGGGGAGGGTGGGGNGGGGGGGGGGAGGGAGGAAGACACCCATCATGAGGTTAGTATCACTCAAGAAATGAGCTCAGCTCACGTGTTAAGCCCTACTATCAGGGAAGAAGAGGAGGATGGGCGCCGAGCATCTGTGCGACTTTATGCGGCTTGAGCTAACGGAACGTAGTTTTTAAACTAAGCCCAAGTAGGGTAGGAGCACCTGGGTGGGTGGAATGATTACCTCGTGCAAAAAGAAAGAAAAAAAAAGAAAATCTGCTCACCGCCGTGCTCTTTCCCCACTAAAGCCCTCAGTTCAAAACTTGTATGTCCTTGAGATAACACGGTGTAACACGTTTCATTGAGTTCATTTGAGTTCATTCCTTGTTATACTAACATTGTGATGGGTGGCCCGCCCCAGCTACACTCTCATCAAGCTCTTTATCAGGCACTATCAAAAGTTATCACTCCCTGTCACCTATCATCAGCGTTCCCATTGTGTCGACTGCATCGCTTACCAATTTCAATGCTTGAGCTCTCATAGGGATAGGGTTTGTGAATTGCTGGTCAAATAAATGCAAGCACTTAGCGAGTTAAACGAAGTAGGATGGTGGCAGAAGCATGAAAAGCTTCTTACTGTTCTATTCTTTATTACATGAATTCTCCTTTTCCTTTTTCCAAGTTTTTTCATTTCCTTATTCCTTTCGAACTTTAATTCCAATTTAATGTATCATAGATATCGAATGGGTCTGTTTAGTTCGAATGGTTGTCCGAATATGTTTCCAAACGAAACTGTAAGCCACTAAAGGCACAGTTCACGATAAAAATGGTTTCAGAGCTATCTCTCTAGGACCAAGGGTAGCAGGGAAGACCCTGTCTGATCCAGAAACTAAACAGCTAGGGCATAGCGAGAGCCCCATTACCATCGCCCGGATTCCCCGTCCCCGTCGATCGATGATGTATGAAGCGAGTATTGAAGCCATACAGATTGCGACATTCGCGCCAGGAACCACACGTACGCGATGGCACACATTACGTAGCTCGTTCGAATGCCCCTTTCTTCATTTTTCTGATCTCATGCTCGTCCAGCCCCTTTTTAATGATTTTTTCGAAGCCTTTTTTACTTTGAGAATACCGATTCATGTATTTTCTTCGCCTTGATCACACTATTTTCCACCTCATCTTCCATTTTCGTCATAATGTGGATTACCCAAAATTATCGTGAACCTGGCTCCAAAATGGAGGAATCCTTGAGTTTTCTTCACGGGACTTTCCTTCATTCACTTTCACCTTTTAATCCATATAAATTACAAAACAATGTACATATTTGGAATATTTATCGGGAATCCTGTCTATCCTCTTCCCTTGCCAACGACGTCTGCATTCTTCCTACTATTCGCTGTACCTTTTTTTCCAGTCCCTCCATTTCCATGAGCGATTGTTGTCCTCATCGGACGTATCGAGGGATCACGGATATGAATAGGCCTGTCCCTCAGATATACTGAGGTATCCCTCTCATGAATTGAGGTAATCGAAGATCAGCTGCTTGTCATTTTGGAATTCTGAAAAAAATTTGCATATGAAACAGCTTTTGGCACTTTTTACAGTTATGCTGCATTTTTGGCTAGTTGCCATCTATTATAGAAGCTGTAGTCTGTTTCTAAAGAAAAAGTTCAGGAGAAAAAGCTTTTATTAATCACGTATATGTTCATGGCATATATTCTGTATCCGCTGCAGATAGTAACTTCTCTTCACCTCTGATTTCCTCCTCCATCCCCCTCTCTGGAATCCACGTACCTTTCTTGAAACTGATAACATCTCTGAGTTTGTGTTGTCTTGAACTCTTCACGAGGTTTTTAAATAACCTTTATTAGGCTGACGTTTCGGCGGAATCGCCTTCTTCAGAGCCTGAAAGGATCATAACAATCTGTGATTATCCGACCAAACGTCTCCACCAACCCACTAAGTTCGAGACCCCCAGGGCACGCAGATGGTCGAAAGGAGAACCACTCACCGTAACTTTGTGGATTCTTCGAAACCACCCAACTAATAGTGGTACCAACCGACCAGTGTCAGCGGGGGTACGTCTTCATTAAAGCCTGTGAGGGAAGGCCAATCTTATAAAAGGCCGTAGCTCCCGCGTGATTGCGAGGCATTCTTCCCTACGATTCATTTTGNCTACGGCCTTTTATAAGATTGGCCTTCCCTCACAGGCTTTAATGAAGACGTACCCCCGCTGACACTGGTCGGTTGGTACCACTATTAGTTGGGTGGTTTCGAAGAATCCACAAAGTTACGGTGAGTGGTTCTCCTTTCGACCATCTGCGTGCCCTGGGGGTCTCGAACTTAGTGGGTTGGTGGAGACGTTTGGTCGGATAATCACAGATTGTTATGATCCTTTCAGGCTCTGAAGAAGGCGATTCCGCCGAAACGTCAGCCTAATAAAGGTTATTTAAAAACCTCGTGAAGAGTTCAAGACAACACAAACTCAGAAATGTAATCATGCCGAGGTTCATGGAAAGCCGTACATGGAACTGATAACATCGTCAAATACCGCACAGAACGGGATTTATTGACGAAAATCCTTCTTTTGTCCCTATCCTGTCAACCGTAGTTCTACCTCTGATTCTGTTGACAGTAGAAATATGCAGATCCATGTGGGACGTTTTAGAAAGTGTTTGGCATCTCCGCGATTTTCCGTGCTTTTTATCTTTTCCAGCTTGAATCACGAAGGCAGAGGACTTTGATGCTTACTCTTCTATAAAATAACTTCGCGACTGATCCTCTTGACCTGACCGCTTTGGCTGTGGTCATACCTTCTCAACAGCCTTGGTTCGCTGTTCACAGAACTCGAGTGAATGTCTTGCCCCTCACATTTTTCCATTTCCCTTCCCGTCTTGTTCGCGATCAGTTCTAGCTTCGTAACTGAACAATTTTGCGACTTCTTCGGCACCTTTTTCTGTGAGTGGATTTACCCTCCAGCCTATCTATCTGAGCCTGGCGCGGAACTGTGTGTTATAGATTTCTAGACATTTAGTAAGTGCCGTTTGTTAGGTATAATTGTCCCGAATCTCGACGATGCCAGTATCTGCTTATGTCAGGGTCATGCAATTGCATTCGAATGCTTCGTGCGTCATCAGGCGCGCCATGCACCTTGAAACCGAGGACTGCGTTGTACCGTTTCTTAATTGCACGTGCTGTCATCGGTTTTCTGTAGACATTTGCAATCAAATGAGATCCTCATAGATCTGGACCAATGCTCCTTCGGTACTCATGGCATAGTCCCCTATACCGGTCTCGGGATACTCAAGGATGTTATAGCTACTATTCCATCTATTTCGCACTTTGTTCACTCGTATGAGAACATTTATATGTTTATGTACAACACGCGATATGGATTTTCGACAATCTCGATATGTGTCGATAGGTCAGCATGAGCCTCCGACTCGCAATACTGCACGATTGCTCGGCTTGCGCAGAATATTTCTTACCTATCAATACTACCATCCAGTGTTTGTTACAATTGGGTATTACGGGTTATGGGTGGACGCTTTTACTTTTGAGGATCCAATTTCCTCTATCATACTGAACGAGTGGACCAATATTCGCAACCTTTTTCGTGAAATGAAAAGAGATTCTGGTCGATTCTTCTATGATAGAGCATTAGCTGCAGGCTTTATTGCTCTCTGTTCGTCAACAAGGAAAAACCAAAATATTCCGAGGAGTTTGAGAGCTACAATATCCGAATATTATACCTTATGTAACCATCATTCAGTTCTCTTTTTTTGGAATTAATTTGAACTTGCCTCTAACTCAAACTTGGTGGTCCTACTTATACGCTTGTAGATTATGGACCGCGAACAAACTGGAGACTTTACTCCTTTTTTCTTCTATTTGATTACATTTAAATTGGAAGGGTAATGTTTAATGGAATTCGCTCCTTGAATAGAACTTAAGTAGTAGGGGGACCGGATTGGAATTAAGGAATTAGTGGCAAAAATTGCTAAAAATAATTATTGAACGCCTTCAGACAAAACGTCTCGAAGACGTGGATCAATGCGAGAAGCTGGCTGGCCGGCCACATTTATAACCTACCAGTTGATTGTGGGAAGATACTCGGATCGTTCGAAAGGATTCCAGTCAGCAGGAGACGGAACGAGATGCAAAGGTCTGTTTAGGAGTTGGCATCAATCTTTGGTTCGAAACTAGTACTGATGATATACCAGTATGGAATAGAAAGGCTAGAATGTGGAAGTCGAATTGTTCAAGGAGCACCAAAGTTCTACTTTCAATGTTTTTACCTTTACTTCCCTTTAATGTTTGTCGTTGATGTCAGCTTCCGGTTTCGAGCCTGGCGATTGTGTAATTGTAAGAAATTTTCTTTTTGCCCTAGCCAAGTTGAAAATGGAAATTGAAGTGTTTGCGCATAGCGTTACATTCCAAATGGATCTTTTGATATTAGAAGGCGCTCTATTTTCCAAATAAATATCATACAAGAACATCGCCAAGAACTCAAAGGCGATGGCTGGTGCGGCTGCGACAGTGAAACGATTGTGGCGTGTTTTAGTTATAAGTTGGTAATAGTGAATGAGATGGGAGGCCACAGCATCCCTTTTTGGAAACTGCGCTCATAGGTAGTCGTTCCGGTTAATTATATCCCTTTTACTCATTCCTCACAGCATGCCAGATTATGGAGTCGAGTAAACTCGCTATTGTGCTAAATTGCCTCAATGACCGGGTGGAGAAGCACTGGATGTCCAGTTTATGGGAATTTGTCTACACAGGTAATGTGTGCACCCGTACTGTATGGGAAGAGTAGACGATTAGAGTTCATTTTTGTAAACCACGTATAAAACTTTTATTGCTGTCTCCAAGACAGTTTATCGGCATTGAAACGGTTAATAAAGTTTTCTTATCTCCCTGACCAGTTCCATCCACTAGATCTTCCAAAAGAACCTCCAGGTCCACCACGTGCATATCCTCCAATTCCTCCAAATCCTCCATAGGGGTTACTTCCAGTTCCCCAGTACGGATTTCCTCCTCGTCCTCCAAACGGATACGGCCCAGGTCCTCCAAAGGAATTTCCTCGTTGCCCTCCTAAAAAGGGACCAGCTCCTCCATACGAATTTCCACCAAGTCCTCCGTATGGGCGTCTTCCTTGTTGCCTGTAGGGTTCTCCAGGTCTACTGTAAGAACTTCCTCCTTGTTGTCCGTTGGGTCCCCCAAGGTCCTCCATACGAACTTCCTCCGTGTTGCCCGTAGGGTCCTTCAGGTCCTCCCTAAGAATTTCCTCCTGGTGGTCCGTATGATCCGGTCCCTTGTCCTCCAGAACGATAACCTGCAGGTCCTCCGTACAGGTATGGTCCGGGTCCACTAAAGGTCGCACCACTCACCTCATTGAGCTTCTAAAATAATTTTGAGGCAAGGCTTTCATCTCATCATTTCATTTATTTTCCGAAGTGGTATCATATGACTTATTTTGTGTTTACTACAGTGTTGATTATGGTCATCTGTTTAGTATCTAATAGTATCTAGTTACTTCGTTTCCACTAATGAACCTTTTCTATCGAAATGGGGTGGGTGATCCAGCACCAAATCACCTGGGAGCACGATCACACTGACTAGACTCGTCTGATCTTAAAGCCACCGTTCACGATAAAAAAGTTGATTCTTACCTTATTAATACTCAGCGGCCCCCATGGGTTGTAGAAGGGACCCTCTCACTCCCCCAATTTCGACGTCCAGGGCATAGTGGCAGCCCCGTTGTTGCCGTAGTTCGCGTACCAGCCCCTCGATCGGTGTCACGTTAGACGAGTGTCGAGACAATACAGACTGCAACTATTCGTTCTAGGACCCTCGCACAATCAGCTAATCGCCGAGTGATGAGGCGACGTTTTTCTCCCATTCTTTTTTTCTCTGTTTTTCTTTTTGCTCCCGGGATCCCTTATTTAAAGGCACCGTTCACATAATTTAAGTAATCCAGATTATGATGAAAAATGGAAGACAAGATCGAAACTAGTGCGACGGAGGTGAAGAAACTNGTTAGACGAGTGTCGAGACAATACAGACTGCAACTATTCGTTCTAGGACCCTCGCACAATCAGCTAATCGCCGAGTGATGAGGCGACGTTTTTCTCCCATTCTTTTTTTCTCTGTTTTTCTTTTTGCTCCCGGGATCCCTTATTTAAAAGCACCGTTCACATAATTTAAGTAATCCAGATTATGATGAAAAATGGAAGACAAGATCGAAACTAGTGCGACGGAGGTGAAGAAACTGCGTGCATCGGAGTTTCCAAAGTGAAAAAAGGCTTCGAAAAAACGTTAAAAAGGAGGCTGGACGTGAATGAAACCAGAAAAATGAAGAAGGGTGGGGCGTCCGGACGAGCTAAACAAAGTCTTTCACTGCGCGCGTGTGGGTCCTGGTGCGAATAACAGACAATGGTAAGAAAAAATTCATTCACTTATAAGCATAAATAAACTTAAAAACCCTAGTGACGGCAAAAGTAGCTCACCTTTTTCAGCCTCTAGGGGTAGGAAATTAAAGGCACCGTTCACGATAAAAAGGTTATTGATTGCTTACCTTATTAATACTCAGCGACTGATTACTGGATCGGGAACGTCACGGATTTTCTGAGCCCATACAGCTCCGTAAAAGGTATCATCAGTTTGTAAAATAGCCCCTAGAAGCGTTTGAAGGTATTTATCTATTCATTTATTTATTGAGGACGTTGCATAAGGCAAACGTGGGAAACAATCGCTATAACTGACAACACAACGTAACCTAGTTACGTAGGTTGACTTTTATATTTCGGGATTAGAAAGCAAAAATAAATGTTAATCATTGAAAATTGCTTTACTGCCTTTAAAAAATTTCCTCATTAAGATCTATAACTTGAGCATGCGCTCGAACCAATTTTTGAAGCACTTTTGCCACTCTGATCGAGGTAACTCGAAGATGCATTCTGAACGCATCAACGGCTTCTTCAGGTGTTGAAAAACGTTGATGTCTCACTTTATTTTTTACGTACGGGATAAGAAGTCACCCGGGGACTATATGGCTAATGACTCATCAAATCGTTGTTTTGAGTGCTCGAGTGTAGTTGTTTGAGCCGATGTGTGGGAGCTCGCATTGTCGTAGTGAAGAGTGATCCGTCTTCGGCAGTTGGTTTTCCTGATTTTTTGGAGGGCAACTGGCAAGCAAATGGTGTTGTATACCACTCGGAAACGACTGTTCTGCTTGTTTTAGTGGCACGGTTGCGACTTGTCCGGTTTTTCCAAAAAAAACAGGCGACCACCTGCTTGGAAATGCTATGGCGTGGGCAGCTTTTGTTGGATTTGGCTCATCTTGAAATATCCATACGGTCGACTGCTATTGACTTTCAGGCTTATACGCGTGAGCCCATGATCCATCACCTGTCTCGATATCACAGGCGTGTTTCGAAGCACTGCGATCGTATTTTTTGAGCATTTCCTTCGATCAATCGACACGAACCTTTTCTTGAGGGATTGACAAATTTTGTGGGGTCAAATTTTTTTACAGTCAAATGTTCATGCAATATTGAATGTATGCCGGTCCCTTCAATGCCTGGTTGTCCCAGTCCCACGATAGGTCATATAACGATCTTGCAATATCAGTTTGCGCACAGCACCGGAACAACAACTGATTTTGAAGACCTCCACGAAATTGCAAAGAAGAGAGCAATCTTCTCCATCCTCAAAGTACTAATTTCAATCGTTGCTCATCATTTCGCTTATCCCTCAATTTTCGTAAGTTATACTCTTCCATCCAGTCTTAGAGGGGCATTCTCAGTGTGAACCAGAACAGCGTCTCACTCCAGTTCTTCTTCCTCCAATGTCTCGTCATCAGTCCTTATCACTTGCTACCAATCCTTGTCGCCAGCCATCTGCGGTCTCTCTACAACCAACCCACATCACCAATCAAAGTTCCAGGACTCCACCGTTAACAGAGACTTCGTAAGGGCACGTGTGACTTTTGCTTCCTAAAGTTCTTTATTAGTCCCTGTCAAATGTTACCACTCCTTGTTTTCAACACTCTAAGTCCAGGAGGGACAGAATTTCGGAATTTCTGGTCAGACACACACAAATACTTAAGAATTATATAAAGTAGGATGTGGCAGGGTATGAAAGTTTTTTGACGTTCTCTCCTCATTTAAGAAGGTTTCTTAATAGTCTTTCCCGGTTCTCTTTCCAAATCCTCAATTCTTTTTGCAAAACAGTAACTTTAACATAAACAGTGTCAGAGATATCAAACTGAACGACATTATCGTTTTGAAATGATCTTGCATATGAGAATAGGAGAATTTCGGGGTTTTCTCGCGAAACCTTCGCTTATTTAATTTTCACCCCTTTCAAACACTGTCAATTGCAAGGCAATGTAAATATTCGGAGCTGGTATCGGAAATCCTGCAGGGGTATACGCTATGTGTATAGTAAATCCCAGAAGAGTGTTTTCTTGATCTTCGCTTCTATTTCTTCCATCGGTATCCAACTATGATGTACCCAGGCAATGCGGTCGAGTCCCTCGTTTTGTCGTCGTTAACCGGCACGGGCTGTAACCATTTCATACCCTGTTGCGTCCGATTTTTTTTGCCAGTTCCTCCATTTCGGTGGGGTGATTGTATTCCTGTCCTGGCGCATCGAGCAAACCTTTCCTTTCCATAGCTCATCTTGCTACTCCCTCTAACTCAGCAGTTTTCGCGTACACCCCTTTACACTTCTATGAGCCGCAGGCTTAGGAATTTTACGTTGTAGGAAGGTGGGAAAGCGCAGTTCTTGTAGGTCGTAGATGGCGGATTATCTTATCGCTGAGGCTCAGCTGTATCTTTGAGCCGATCAGCCCTCGTTGTTGCTCTTACTCCACCTTTTCCCCAATAGCAAGAAGAAGCAACATCCTGCCAGTTATAGTTAGCTGAGTGTGTTTGTTGGTGTCGTTATGTTTGTTTGTGTATGAAGTGAGGTTGCTCAGATGGGTCTGCGAATCTGGACTGGATCAGTACCAGAGGCGTTAGGGTGATCACGCAAACAGCCACGTGCAGCGGATGCTGAGAGTAGTGGCTGCGATGGTACGGACACGTAATGAGAAGACCACAGAAGCATTTGATAAGAGAGGAAACTGAGTTCGAAGCTCAAGAGAAGCCACCGCAAAAGGCCCCAGAGAAGAGCTGATGATGGTACCTCACCGAAGTCAAGGTGAATACAGACGATGCCAGCGTACACTGGCAGAATTCGTTGCAGTTTGGACTACTTTGGTGCCTATCATTGGGCCTATGGGAGTAGAGCAGTTTACTAGGATCAGCAGAACTTACTAATCTACTCCAAGCCGGTGTCCCAATGATAGGCCCCGAATTTTCAAAATAGCGACGTGTTCCGCCGCTTAATTTGCCGTGTACGTCTCCAAACGAGCGAATACCCACAGCCGAGATTATTGCTAGGAAAGCAATGTTCTAATCCAGTTTGCTCAGTGGAAGTTTACCAGAGTTTTTCTTGACCTCATTGGTAAG